AATCCTCAAATTCATATGGAATTGCAAGGGGCCCCAAATAGCCAAAACAATACCAAAAAAGAAAATTAAAATTAGAGAACTCATATTTCCCACTTCAAAATTAAACAGTAACAGTAATCAAAATAGTATAGTGCTGACATAAGGGTGGACATATAGATATCTATGTGGAATTGAATCGAGAGTTCATAAATAAATCTATGCGTTAATGGACAATTAACTTTTAACAAGAGTGGCAAGATCATTCAATGGGAAAAGAAGTTGCTTCAATAAATGGTGCTGGAACAACTAGATATCCACATATAAAAGGAGAAAGTTGGGCTTCTTCTTCATACCTATACAAAAATTAACTCCAAATATTTCAATGGCCTAAATAAGAGAGCTAAAATTATACAACTCTTAGAAGAGAACATAGGAGTAAATCTTCACGTCTCTGGATTTGGCAATGGAATTTTTATTATTTTATTTTTTATTTTTTTAGCTGAGCCATCCTGCCACCTGTTGGCAGCTCAGTGGCAGCTCAGCTCGGGCCAGGCATTGAACCACTGTTGCTCAGAGCTCAAACTCTTGAGCGAGCTCTTAACCAACTGAGCCACTCAGCCAGTCCTGGCAATGGATGTTTTAGATATGACACTAAAAGCATGAGTAACAAAAAAAGGATAAATTTGACTTCATCAAAATTAAAAACTTTTACTTATCAAAGGACATTATCGAGAAAAATGAAAAGACAACCTACAGAATGGGTGAAAATCTTAGTAAATCATATATCTGATAAGGGTCTAGTATTCAGAATATTTAAAAAACTGTTACAACTCTACAACAAAATGATAAATAATCCAATTAAAATGAGCAATGGACATTTCTCCAAAGAAGGTATACAAATAGCCAATAAGCACATGAAAAGATGCTCAACATTATTAGTCATAAAGAAGATGCAAATTAAATTATAATAAAATCTCTTTACATCTACTAAAATGGTAATAATGATAATCAGTAAATAATTGTTGGTAAGGGTGTGGAGAAATTAGAACACTTATACATTGCTGGTGGAAATGTAAACTGGTACAGCCACTGTGGAAAACTATTCAGTGAGTCCTCAAAAAATTAAGCATATAATTATCATATGATTCAGTAATTCCATTCCTAGGTATAGATCCAAAAGAATTGAAAACATGTACTCAAATAGTTGTAGACAAATCTCCATAGCAGCACTATTCACATAAGCAAAAAGGTGGAAAAAATACAAATGTCTATTAATAGGTGAATGGATAAATAAATGCGGTGTATACATACAATGGAATATTACTCAAAAACAAAAAGGAATAAAGTACTGATAGATGACACAACATGAATAAATTTTGAAAATATTGTATTAAGTGAAAGAAGTCAGATACAAAAGGTCACATATTGTATGATTTCATTTATGAGAAATATCCAGGATAAGTAAACCCATAGAGAGAAAGCAGACTAGTATTTCTGGGGAGTTGAGGGAATGGAGAAATGTAGAGTGATTGCTTAATGGATACAAGGTTTACTTTCGGGGTGATGAAAATCTTTTGGAATGATAGAAGTGGTGGTGGCACAACATGGTGAATTTACTCAATGCCACCAAATTGTACACTTTAAATTTTTATTTTGTGTTTTGTGAATTTCACCTTGATGATAAAAACAAAAGAAAAATGTCTGAGTGTGGATGGAAACACAACTGAGGGTAGATCTGAATAAAAAACTGAGAGGCATGGAAAGTTGGAGGTCACAGTGAGGACAGATCACAGATTCTGAGAGGCAGAAAAATAGTTGTTTTTGAAGATAATGACAAAATATAAAACAACTTGCTGTTTGTGGTGAGCAACAATAAATGTGTGAAGGTGAGGGAGGTTGGTAAGAAGTAGATAACGCTGCTCAGTGGAAGGGGAGTCATTGGAATTACAATCTCTTAGCAAAAGAGCCTGCAAATTTCTAACTCACAACCTCAGAATCATTTGGCTAGCCCACGTGTATTGGTTCTGCCAGCAATTTCAACCACTATTCTCTCCTGGACAGCAGAATACCTGTATCTGCTTCTTGCAGACCTAACAGAGAATTAGTTTCTATTTCTCCCTTTCTGCAGACCCAATATAACTTAATCCATGAAATCGAGAACACCGCTACTCAAAGTGTGGTCCATGGAGCAGCACTGGGTTTACTTGGGAGCTTGTAATCAATGCAGAATCTTAGTCTCCATCCCAGAATCAGCATTAGTAATTTGTATGAATATTAACATTTGACAAGCTCTCATCTAGAAAGAATAATGGAGAGACAAATGAGGCTCATTTGTCCCAGGGCATGATGATACCTGATTCTGGTTATACCTATTAGGATTTCTCAACATGGTTTATCTTTCCAGATAAATTTTCTAAAAGGATCACGTTACGGTGTTCAACCCACTTGAGAGAATGTGGGCTGGTGTGAGCCATCTTCCTTCATGCTTGTTTTCAAGATTGATTTTTTTAAGTGTTTTTTACTTTAGTTTTTATTATTTTTTTAAATTAGGAAAGAGTGTTTTTCCAGGACCCATCAGCTACAATCAAGTAGTTGTTTCAATCTAGGTGTGGAGGGTGCAACTCAGTGGTCCATGTGAGGATCAAACTGGCAACCTTGGTGTTATGAGCACTGTGCTCTAATCAACTGAGCTAACTGGCCTCCCCTCAAGATTGATTTTACTTGTGCCACACTCTTGCCACAGTGGTTTTCTTTCCCTTCCTTAATTGCTCCAAACTCTTCCCTGCACCAGGGCCTTTGCACACACAATTCCCTCTGCCTTGAATGTTTCTTCATTAGGCTCTTCCCCATTTGAGTTCACACATCATTTTTTCAATATCAGATGAGATTCTACCTTTCCAGAAAATCCACATTATCCCATCCAAAGCAGATCCCCTTGTTTTTCTCTGCCCTGGTAACCTATTTTCTTCCTAGCAATTGAATTTTGTAATTATATATACATTTATGTGAATATGTAGCTGTGTGTAAACTAGGCGGAATAGTGAAGTGGATATAAGCACAGACTCTGGAGCCAGACTCCCTGATTGCCAAATCTGGCAATCACTGCTTTCCTCCTGGGCCTCAGAACAACTGCAAACACATTCAAATATGTTTGTGTTCCTACACCACCCAGTGTCACCTCCCCATGTGACATTAAGCAAGTTACTTAAGGTTCTGTGCCTTCTTTCCTCTTCTTTAATGTGGGGATAGAAACAGTATGTTTCATAGGGTCTTTATGAAGAGTATCAAGGGAAATGGGAAGAAGCAGAGGAATTTTAACCTGAGGACCTTCAGAATATTTGACTCTAGAGATGGGTTCAATTTTGTAAGGATGTAAAAATGAGACAAAGATGTGGGTCTTTGTCCCCAGGCCAGGGAGTTATACATTCAGTTGAATGTATAACTGAATTCTCCCACTTTCTGCATCTTATACATATTTCCAAAGGTTCTATCCTCTTTTCACTTTTCTCTTGAGCTTCACTTGTTTCTATGCTGTGTCCTCCAAGCCTCCAGCCTCAGCTTGACCTCTAATCCTAAATTTCCAGCTGCTTTCAGGAAATCTCTTCATGGGTATCATACTGATGCCTTAAAATTCATAGGCCCAAAATTAAACTTACCTTCCTCTCCATGTCTGTTCCCTCATCCCCGCCAACTCTGTCACCTTCTTTGGTTACCCAGTCTGAAATTTCATTGCCCTTCACCCTTCATCATCCCTTTTCTGTGCTTGATTTCTTTCCTCCTTATCATTTATCACTCTACAATATACTATTTCACTTATTTATCTTGTTTCTAATTTATCTCCCCTGCTACAATGTTAACTCTATGAGGGCAGGAATTTATGCCTGCTTTGCTCATGATGTATCCCCAGAAACTAGAACAGTGCCAGGCATTAGTAAGTGCTTGATGTATTGAATAATTTAATGAATTCACCTTTCCCCTCATTGCCAATGCCAGTTAATCTAGTTAATCCTACATCTATGGTGACTCTTGCTTCTGTCCTTCCTCTTGTGTCGCTGCCATGTTTGTTCAACTGTCAGTGTTTCTCAGAATTATCACAAGCGCTTGCCACCTACTAGCTAATGACATTTGGGCAAGTTATTTAAATTATCTGAGTTCCTCATGTAAAAATGGGGATAATAATAGTACAGACTCATAAGACATGAGGCTTATGTGTATAATGTGTGTATAGTGCTTGACCCAGTGCCTGGAACCAAATAAACACTTTGTGAATATTAGCTATTTGTACCTGCTGCCCTGAGCTAGTTCTAGCCTAGCTTTTCTGTCTTGTTTCCTACCCCATCTGCCCCTGAATCCTATACTTTGGCCCCAATGGACCACTTTTGGTTCCCCAAATGTGACATTTACCTTCATGTTTTCCTTGTAATAAACAGCAGGGAATGAGAAGCAGGCAGCATCAGCCAACTCCTTTCTCTCTCTCACATAAAGTACTGCTGTACCAAGGAGCCCCAATCTGTATCAAAGGAAGGGAGAGCTAGAGAACTCTTTTTTTCACAGCAAGCTGAAGCTAAGAGTACTGTTTCTAGTGTTTTTCGTTGGGCCCAGAAATTTTGACTAAGCTGATTCACAGATTTTCAATAATTTAAATGAAGATAGTGAGGCCTAGGAGGAATAAGTAATGTACTTGAGGTTATACAGCAAGATAGTAGCTAATTTGGTAAAGGGATTTATTTTCCTAACCTTAGTACCCTTTATTAAAACATGCTATTAATAAACCCCGAAGAGTCTTGTCTTAGAAAAACTCATTTTCCATGTTTCGGCAGACAATTCCCTTAAATGCAGACACAATTAAAGTTGGTGACTGAACCATTTAACACTCAAAATTGAGAGGAGGTAGCAGCTTATCAAGCATGACTGTGAACCCCACCAGACAGAGAGACAGACAGACACATAGGTGATTTAGACTGAGCAAGCTACACAAAATCAAGGAGTCAGTAACTGTATGAGTCCATTTCAGCATTTACCTGGGCCAAGGCAGAAGACAAGCGTGAGAAGCTGGGACAGCCAGATCATGCTGTTAACACTGGAAACAGCTGCTGGAGACTTCAAAGCAGTCAAGTTCGTCTTCTGTTGAAAGTGTTTCTCTCAAACTTCCCCTTCCTCTCAGAGGTGTGCTAATACATTTTGTTGCACCATAACAGTCCTAATTTTATTTTTAAAAATTATTCTATTTACTTTTTTTTCTAAGCAATGGGGGAGTCTTTTGTTTTACTATTTGGTCTCTTGTTTTCAGTTCCTGAAATATCTTCAGAGCTATAAGGATGAAATGGATGTCTTGTTATTTATAACAAGCCCCCTTTCATTCAAATGATGTATATGTTAATGAGATAACTTTTAGACTGCACCTAAAGATGACTGGTTGGCAGGGGAACCAATCAAGTGATTAGAGCAGGGCTTAGCAAACTTTTGAGATGGAAGAGCCAATCCTGTCCCTCACAACAATTTAAAAATTATTCAAGAGCCGTAAAACAAATGAAATCACCATTATGTGAATAACATCCTTTAAAAATGTTATAAGTGAAACTATGATAGTTTTATTTTCATTTTCAATTTTACTTCAGAGCCACATGTACGTACCCAAAGAGCCGCATGTAGCTTGCAAGCCGCAGTTTGCCGACCCCTGGATTAGAAGGTTGGAACTTTCAGTCCCACCTCCTCATCTCCAAGGAAGGCAGAGGGGCTGGAGGTTGAATCAGTAACCAACGGCCAATGATGTAATCAGTTGTGTATATGAAATGAAGCCTCCATAAAAAGTCAAAAGGACAGGGTTCAGAGATATTCTGGATTTATTAACACATGGCAACCGGGGGACAGCGTTGTCCTTGGAGAGCACATGGAAACTCCTCGCCTTTTCCCCATGCCGTGCCCTATGCATCTCTTCCACCTGGTGGTTCCTGAGTTATATCCTTTCATAATAAACCAGTGATCCAGTAACTAAACTATTTCTCTGAGTTCTGTGAACTGCCTTAGCAAATCAATCAAACCCAAGCAGGGGGTTATAGGAACCTCTAATCTATAGCATGTTGATCAGAAGTCCAGGTGACAACCTGCACTTGCAAATGACATCTGAACAATGGGGAGGGTGGGGACAGTCTTCTAAGACTGAACCTTTAAGTTGTGGAACCTGATGTTATCTCTGGGTAGATAGTGTCAGGATGAGTTGCGTGTAGGACGACACCCACCTGGTATCAGAGAACTCCTTGTTGCTGTAGAACCTGCTTCCTCCACCTCCCACTGGAATTGGGTGCAGAGCCCTTTATTACTTCAAACAAAACCTCTATAACCCTTAAGCAACAATAACTCCCTATTGTCAATGAAAAAAACATCCAGGCCAAGAGAAAGCTTATAAGAGTTTATTTGAGCCAAACTGATGACAACTGCCCGGAAGCAAAATCTCAACGGATTGAGAAAATGCTCCCCCCAAATGGTGTTTTGCAGCTTATTTTATACACAGAATCAGAGGAGGGTTACATGAAATCCACTGGTGGTAGATTAAGGTGGTGGGAGAAAGCAATGTAGGGAAGCCTCTGGGATTGGATAAAAGTAAATTGGAGGGATAGGTACTTGTTTTACATAGGTTTGTACAGGATAGTTAATAGTTTACTTTTTTTTTTTAAGATTTATTTTTTTTATTGGGGAATTGGAACAGCGCTGGGAAATTGGAGGAAGGGGAACAGACAAGTTACTGTCATTTTGTTCTTCCATCTAGTTGTGGAGGACGTTCTTCACTGGCCCAAGTTGACACCATCATTGCGCTCTTCCCAGGCGAGGCAGATCTGTCGCCGGGTGGCCGGCCGCTCACTGTGGCTGCTGGCCGCTCACGCTGGCTGCTGGCTACACATGGTAGCTTATGACAACGGGTTGCAGCAGGGGTTGCAGCCTACGCCGTCGCTGGTGACTCACGGCAGCCCAGCTCCAAGCTGAGCTGTTGTTCAGCATCTTAGCTGTAGAGGGCAGTGTCACTGGCCCTCATATGAGGGATCCGAACCGGGCCCTGCTGCTCAGAGCTGGCATCCCAAGCCAGCTCTTAACCAATGTGCCACTTGGCCGGCCCAATAGTTCACTTTTTACAGCACATAGAGATGGTAATCGGAGGATAAGAATAGTAATGAGGGATTCTATAGTTTCCTGCTCTGGTAAGGGGTGGGAAAGGGATTACTGACATTCCAAGGGCATGTTATCCTAGATGCAAAAAGACAATAGACAGGCTCACATAAGGTAAAGATTGATCTTTTTCAAGGAAACTAAAGACTAAAGATGTGACTTCTCGCCACAGCACCCTTATTTAGGAATTTTTATGTTCTTGTTATCCTATGTGGTTTTTTTCAGCCTCTGAGATTGTCAGGTTTAATCTGTGGCCCCTTTTCTGTCCACAGTTTCCCTTTTTGGTCATAAATCAATTCAAAGGATGCACTGATGACCAATCTTTTGGCGGGATAATGTGGTCCCACAGTGGTAGGAAGGTTCATTCCTAGGAAGTCTTAGTGTCAGCGTTTGTCTTGTTGAATGTTGGACCTTTGGGGCTGGTGCAAGACTACAACCTTAGATGGCAATCAAGGTTGAATTATTTATTTAAAAGAAAAGGTGAGCAAATGGGAGGCAGTCAGATCCTATATATCTTCATTAAATATAATCTGGATTATTTCTAAATTTGACCTATCATAATCTAAGTTTTTTCTTTGTCTATCTTATGTTTTATTTTTTTTAAGATTTTATTGGGGAGTTGGGGGAGGGGAACAGTGTTGGGGAATCGGGGAAGGGGAACAGACAAGTTGCTGTCCTTTTGTTCTTCAGTCTAGTTGTGGAGGACGTCGCTTCACAGGCTCATGTTGGTATTATCATTGCGCTCTTCCTGCGAGAGGCAGTTGCTTGCCAGCCATTGGATGGACGCTCACGGCAGCTCACAGCAGCTCACGAAAGCTCACCTCAGCTGCCAAGTAGCCCCACTGCAGACTATGCCATCGTCGGCGACTCACGGCAGCCCAGCTCCAGGTCGAACTGTTGTTCATCATCTTAGCAGTAGAGGGCGCAGCATCACTTGCCCTCATGTGGGATCCAAACCGGGGCCCTGCTGCTCAGAGCTGACATCCCAAGCCAACTCCTAACCAGCTCAACACTTGGCCGGTCCAAGGATAGTTTACTCCAAGTCTTTCAGCAGTAATCAGTAGCCTATTTTTAGATATTAGATAGCCAAGGTATTTTACTTAGTATAAACAAAATCAATGCTTGTCCTTTGAGACCTTATGTCCTTTATGACTAGCTATTGTAATAGGTAAGTTGTGTTCTCTTAGGAATCTAATATATCCTACAGCATAAGAGTAAATCATCCACATATTGGATTAGAGTAGAATTTCTGGGAAATTCAACATTATTCAAATCAGCTTTTAGTATCTGAGAGAAATAATTGGAACTCTGTATACCCCTGAGGCATTACTGTCCAAGTAAACTCTGATCTTCTCAGGTGGAAAAGCAAAGAAGTATTTCCTGTCTTTATTTCTTTATTTTACAGGAATGATGTAAAAGACACTACATAAACCTATCACTGAAAAATATTGGCAATACACACAGGAATAACTGATAACCGGGTATGTGGATTTGGAACCACAGGACACCTATTTATAACCCTGAGATCTTGTACAAATCCCCATCCTTTCTCATTGGGTTTCTTTACTGGAAGGATAGGAGAATTACAGGTGATCATACGTGGAATTATAAACCCCCCTTTCAAAGGTAATCTTGTATAATAAGCTAATTCCAGCTAGTGTATCAGGCCCCAAAGGATATTGGCAAATATTAGATAGAGGCAAGTATTATCAATAGTTATTTAATGGGAGTGGCTGACTTAATCTTGCCAATATCTGTACTGGAAAAAGCCTAAAGCTGTATTGGAACATCCTGCAGCAAACATTCAGTCAGTCTCAAGACTAGTTTCCTCTCATGTAGTTTCTTTTAAAATCATTGTTTTCCCAATCTGATTCATTTAGTACTAAATACATTTCACCCTTCTGGGAGAAGGATATGTGAGCATCATTGGCTAGAAAGTCTCACATGATCAGGTGAGTGGGGCAGATTTGAGTAGTGAAAATATATGTTGCCCCTTAACATTTCCTAGATGGGGAGAAATAGGTTCTGATTTATACAGACATTGATTGATTAGATGTCCCTACCATTTGTATAGAAGCTTTACTCCAAGAAAGAGGGCAACTTAGTCAGGTAGTGTTAACAGATAATGTAGCCCCAGTGTTAGTAAGAAGAGAAAGTGCCCTCATAGTCCTTGGAGCAGCCCTATGCTTGCTTCTATTTCTTTACTTTTTCTAAATCCCATTTTAGTTTTCTACAATCCTTAAGGTGACTTGAATTTTTAAAATAAAAGTAGATTCCTCTACAGGAGTTTCCCTAGCAAAACTTTAGTAATTCTGTTGCTTTGCTCTCAGAAAACAGCGAAACAGGATTTTTTGATGTGTGTTTTTGCGTGTATCCCTGGGATCGTGGTCTTGTGGAACCAAAGAATGGAGACACGAACCAGAGAGGTAAAGTTGCAGAAAAGGACAGTTTATTAGAAGAAAAAATACGTTTCAAAGAAGTAGAAGCGGGCCCCAGCAGTAGACAATGGCTCAAGGGCTATTATTAGAAGAGAAAGTACACTCCAAAGAGTTTGGAGTGGGCCGAGCAAAGGAAGCTCAAAAGGCTTTGACTAACCAGGACTTGGAGTTTTTATCCTTTTTTTTTCTAGAATCGGCTGTTCTTCTCTGGGTGTGGGACCACTTGATTGACACCTATGATTGACAATAAGCAATTACCTTATCCCTTTAGACTGCGCATGTTTCTTCCCAGAATTCAGTCTGTTATAATGATATTAATGAACTTCCAGGCTATTATAATGATGGTATAATGAGGCCCAGGTGAAATGATGGTTGTTATGGCCTTTACTGTGCAGGTGTGAGTGACTGGTTTAATCCAGTTGGGTATTTTGTACCCATTTGTTTCCCCATAGGGGTAGAGAATTACAGTGAAATGGGGGGGAAGTTTTGGGTGAAGAGGGGAGGTCTTTTTGAGTGGTCACTTTCTGTGGGACGTGCAGGAATGCAGAGACCCAATGCCTGTTTCTAACTCCCTGCTTTGTTTTCTCCTTAAGTGATGTGATTCCCATAAAATCTCTATGGGAAGTTGAGGGACAGGAGGTCTTTTCTTCTATATCTGCTTCCTGCTGGGCAGGGGTGTAGAGCTGTCCCTGCCTATTGGGGGATTCACAGAACTCTCACCCAATCTGATCTTAGATGAGAGGAAGGGGTCTCAGGATCCACCTGGAAGACCGTGTTGGCTTCTTTGGTGGTGACTGGCAATCTTGCTGGGGTATCATCTGTATCCCCAAGGCCCCTAAGTGAGAAAAATAGATTTTAATTAATAAATATCTTAAAGAGCAGAGCTCAAATCTATTGATGTAGGGTGGCTATGGGTTTGGAAAGAACATTAGCCTTTAATGTTTACAATCAACAAGTGTACTGGCCTGGGGAAATGTTAAAATCTGTTTAGTCTCTAGGATGGGATTATCCAAGAGTTAGGTTTGGAATAGCTTGGGGAGTGTTGAGAAGTCACAGGCTTTAACTAGTTATCTAAAGCCGGGGTGGGTGAGAGATGTTCTGTGATTCAGTCTAGAGGCAATCTTTAGTCTAGGATTCAGAAACTGATTAGAAAAGGAATCAAAGCCACGGGTTAAGGAACTAGGGAAGAGGAGACTTAAAATTTCTATAGGAAAGAAAACTTAAAAGTTGTCCAGTGGTGGGGGAGAGGGGGTGCTACTCGCTTGGCCCGTATCATTTGCTTTTCAGGCAGAAAAATTTTTCGTAGTATCTGTAGCCGAACCCAATATTGGTAGCCTACCCAATAGTCTAACAAACTTTGTCTTATTTAAAAAAGAGAGAAAACTTAACTAATTTTGTACCAGCTTACTTTTGATATTTAAATTTACTTAATTAATCACATTCAGCTTAACCATATATAAAATTATCTCAAGATTTGTTGTCACCGGGGACGCTGAGGGGAGGCTTTTGGTGGTGAGATGCCTAGGGAAAAGAAAGTACGCAGAGCTGACATGAAGAGGAACCAGCGTCTTTCATCAGCAATAGCAACCATTATATAGAGGTTTTGGGGGAGGAGAGCGCATGGAAGTGCGCATGCTCCCTCCTGCCGCTGTGAATCATGCTTACGTAAACTGCTTATTTAATTACAGTTGTGTTGGAAATCCCTATGGGCCACTGCACATTTTGAGGAGTACCCTCAACCACCTCCACAAAGATTCTTAGTCACCTAAGAATACCCGAAACTCAGGCTGGAGGGAGTAAATGCCCCTTATCTTCAGAGCTGAACAAGTTCAGACTCTCATTGCTTGGAACCTGTAACCTTTTGTTCTTTTCTATTTCTCCTTTTGGGAATGGAAATGTCTATTCTTTGTTTATCCCACCACTGTGTTTTGGAAGTCTATAACTCTTCTGGTTTCACAGGTTCACAGCTGGAGAAGATTCTTCCCTCAGGATGAATCTTGACTTGAGTTTCCCTCATGCCTGATTTAAATAATATTTAGATGAGATTTTTGACTTAGAGTTGATGTCAGAATGGGTTAAGATTTGATGGGCTGTTAAAATAGAGGTGAATGTATTTTGCTTGTGAGAAGGACATGGATTTTGATGATGCAGAGGGCAGAATTATAGGCTGAAATATATCCCCTTCCCCATTCATATATTGAAGTGCTAATCTCCATTACTCAAGAATGTGATTATTTAAAGATAAGGTCTCTAAAGAGCTAATTAATTTAAAATAAGGTCATATGGGCAGGCCCTAATCCAATATGGCTGGTTTCCTTATAAGAAGAGGAGATTAGAACACAGACACACAGAGAGAAGACCATGTGAAGACACAGGGAGAAGGCGGCTATCTACAAGCCAAAGAGAGAGGCCTTAGAATAAAATCAACTTTGTGGACACCTCGATTTCAGGCTTATATCCTCCAGAATTGTGACAAAATAAATGTCTGTTGTTTAAGCTACCCAGTCTGTAGTAGTTTGTTATGGCAGCCCTAGCAGATGAATACATGACTTTGATTATGTTGTATTCCTAATTTTTTAATATTTTAAATCATGAAAACTGTTAAATTTTGTCAAGTGCTTTTTCTGCATCAGTTGAGATGATGATGTGTTTCCCCCCCCTTTATCCTGTTAATGTGTTCTATTACATTGATTGGTTTTTATATGTTGAACCACCCTTGCATTCCAGTAATAAATGCAATTGGTCATGTTGTATAATTTTAATATGCTGCTGAATTTGGTTTGCTAGTTTTTGTTGAGGAATTTTGCATCAATATTCATAAGGGATATTGTTTTGTAGTTTTATCAATAGGTGGTACTGGTGAAAGACTGGAAGGTAGGAGGAAGGGAGAAATTATATCTTTTTTTCATCTTGATTTCTGATGTCTGAAGCAGTGTCAGCAGTAATGGAAAATGAGTGCAGCACCAGGGTTCCTGGTCTAGCAATGCACTTCCCATAGTCATTCCAGAAGTCTTGGCAGTGTGGCTCCAATGGTGGCAATAGCAGTGTTGAGTGACTTTAGGCTCCCAGGTACTTATGGTTTTGGTGAGAGTATGAACTCCTGGTATCCTTCAATGTGGCAACATTGGTTCCAAAGACAAATTCCCCTAGGAGTGGTAACATCTCCCTGGAATTACTAATTGTTCAGTAACCTCATCTTCTCTGTTTTACTCTTCAAATTCTTCCATCACATTTGTATTCAATTTTTTACATTCAATTTGCTGAATTTGCAATATTTAACAGAGTTTCAATTTTTCTGATCAGACATTGACTGAAACATCGACTGACTTTCTTTTTTTTTTTCTTTTTCTTTTAAAAAAAATTTTATTGGGAACTACTGTGTCCCTCTAGGACACATCAGTTCCAAGTCAAGTCATTGCCTTCAATCTAGTTACGGAGGGTGCAGCTCACTAGCCTATGCAGGAATCAAACCAGCAACCCTGGTGTTATAAGCACCGTGTTCCAACCAACTCAGCCAACCGGCTGCCGACCAGCAGCTCAGCTCCAAGTCAGGTTGTTGTTTTCAATCTAGTTGTGGATGGTGCAGTTCCCTGGCCCATGTGGGAATTGAACTGAAGCCTTGGTGTTATCAGCCTGTGCTCTAACCACCTGAGCTAACCATCCTCCCTGACCTTCTCATTTAAGCTTTCTAATTTTTTTTTCTAATCGGTCATGGGTATTGAATTTTATCAAATACATTTTTGGAATCTGTCAAGATGATTATTTTTTTCTCCCCTTTAATGCATTTAAACAATAAATTACAATAGAAGACTTCTTAAAGATAAATAACCCTTATATTCTGGGGATAAAGCATACTTGATTTCTTTTTTTTTTTTTTTACTTTTGATGCATCATTTGGTTCAATTTGCTAAAATTTAAGTTAAAATTTTAACTTTTATTAGTAAGATTGGTCTACCAGGAGTTAACAAAAAGGTAGCAAATATTTTAGACTTTGTGGGTCATACAGTTTCCATTGTAACTACTCAACTTTGCTGTTGTAGCATGAAAGCGCCATAGTCAGCACATAAATGCATGGGTGTCGAGTGTGTTTCAATAACATTTTATTTATAAACAGTGAAATTTGAATTTCATACAATTTTCATATATCACCAAATATTATTCTTCTTTGGAGTGTTTTTCAACCTTTTAAAGTTGTAATAACTCTTTTTAGCCCACAAGCTATATAGAAACTCTTGGCAGGCAGGATTTGTCCACAGGTTATAGCTTGCTGATGATCCCTGGTCTATATTTTTCTTTTTGGGAAATCATTGTCATCTAGTTTGGAGTCAGTGCTCAATGAATTTTGAAGTTTCCCACTGTTTTCTATGCTTTAGAACAGTTAAAATTACATAGGAATTAGTCTTTCACTGAATGTAGTAGAACTAGTTTATTATACCACCAAGGCTTGGTACATTTTGGAAATTAGATCACTGAACATCGTTTCCATGTTTTTCTCTAATTAAGCAAGTTGTTCTAGTTATAAACTTTCAACCTATGAACTATTATTGATATTAATCTACATATCAGTTCAATCCATTGGTTCTTTTTGCCACCAGATGGCATTATCATATTTGTGTTTTGGAAAGATCACTCCAGCTATGGTGTAGAGAATGGATGAGACTGGGGCAAGTGTGACTGCAGGAGGTAAAGTCCTGTTGTCTAGGTAAGAGATGATGGAGGATTACATTACTGCAGCTACTGGTGGATGAAAGAAGAAAAGTTAGATAGATTGTAAAAATGTTCAGGAGGTGTGTTAGGGGATTTTAAGACCACTTCCAGGTTCAATGACTCAGTGGGAGGATTTACAGGATTCAGCATATAGTCCTACCCATAGCTATGATTTATTAGTGACTAAATACAAAGAAAATTCAGCAAAAGGGACTGGTACATGGAGTGATGTCCAGAAAAAACTAGGCACAAGCACCCAAGGGTCTTCTCACAGTGGAGTCACACAGGATGTGCTTAATTCCTCTAGCAATGTGTTGTGACAAGACATGTGAAATGCTGTCTACTAGGTAAGTTTTCCTAAGCCTAGGATTCCAGGGTTTTTTATTAACAATCAGTAATGTAGGTACTGTTTGTCTAGCATGTACCAAAATTTCAGAATCCCAGATGGAAAGGAGGTGTTCAGCACGAACCAAATTGTTTGTACAAACAGTTTAAGTTCAGTGAACCCCTTTTATCAGGGGAATGGTCTAACGCTCCCAAAATCCAAGTTCTCAGACACCAGCCAAGAGCCAACCTTGAGAGAGTACACCTTTCAAGGATAGCAGCCTTAGACCTACAATGTCAACTCTTTTCTGTGTTTTCTAACTCTTAACTATGTTTTCTGTACAGGACATGAAGTCAATATTTTTATACTGCATTTTTATCCATAGTTTGGAAACTTATTAAGGGAATATACTTAGGAGTAAATAGCTTTGTCACTGAGACATGCAGCAAAGGGCTGTCACATTCCAGGTAAGGCAGTTAGATGTTGTACAAACTGCTGCATTTTCATGAATTAATTAAAATACTATACATTGAGGACTTCTATAGCTTTCACAGGGTCAGGCACTGTGGATACAAATGGTAAACCAAACCAGACATGATCTGTGTCCTAATGGAGCTCACAGCCTAGTAGGGAAAGAGAAACACTAATCAAATAATCACAGGAGAAATATTTAAAGACAAAATTTGAAAACTACTATGAAGGAAAGAGGTAGTACAATGAGAGCAAAATATGGAAGGGTCATTTAAGCTGCACCCTGAGGCATGAGTGGGCATTAATAAAGATGTGTACTGGAGGTGGTGAGGGAAAGGAGGCAGGAGGTAAAGCATTTCAGGCAGAGGGGGACTCTGAGTGCTAATGTGTAAATTAAATGAAATGAAACTTGCCAGACTCTCAGACAGCACCAGAAAGACACTACCAAAATTGTTTTTATTTTCTCAGGTAGTTCCAGTATCTGCTGCAGAGTTTCTACACAGGGGCTCTGAAATTCTTCGGGGTAGTGGTTCAATTTCAGCTCAACAAGAAAAGAATAAAGAGATGTAGCTGGGGTGGGAGCCCAAGCACATCTGCAAAGAGTTGCTCAGAGCAGTTCTTTGATAAGTAAGGAGTAAAGGAAGTGGTTTCTGATTTAGATGCTTCCGTTTGCTCTCTCAAACACCATCTCTTAGCAAGTCATTTCTCCTTCACGGTTTTGCAAAATATACTGAGACACTGCTCCCATGGTTCTGAAGCCAGGTCCTTTTATCCCTTTCCTCCGGGTGGCACTGTGGGTGACTCAGAAAATGCCTCCTCTCCAATTCCCTAGACCCAGACTCTGAAAGGGGTTTCTAGGACTCCTCTTCTCCAGGTGTCTGGGTCCCAATCCAAGTTCAGTTCAACAAATATTTATTAAGCTCTACTAGGCATTGGCTTCTGTTATGGGGTACTATGATTGAGAAGATGAATAAGACAAAGTTTTTGTCTGGAGGGAGATGGACCTTAAAGCATGTGATATAAGTACCCAATTTTCCTATCTCAGTCTAGTTGGGGAGACACGTATGGCAGGTAACTAGATTGTAGTGTGGTAAGTGAAATAATGCAAGGAACAGACATTGAGTTAGGGGGATTGAGAGCTAAAAGTTTGATATGCAACATTAATTTAGCATAATATAAGATGTATTTCTGTTGCAAGAGCCTTATTTTATAAGTTTGTTTTCGTATCTAATGAAGGCATCAGGCCTATAAGAACAGTTAATACAACGATCCAGGGCTTTACCATGTGTAGGCTCTCATTTACCATGAGGTATTAAATATAATACCTCATTTAATCCTTACAAAATAGGAACTGTCATTATCCCTATTTTACAGATGAGAAAACTGAGGCACAAATTGGTTAAAATAACTTGCTGAAGGTCACACAGCTGAGAAACCAGGATTTAAACCCAGGCACTCTAGCAACAGAGCCCACATTTGTGACCCTCATTACACCTCTTTCTATTGTTTCTTCAAGCTTCATGTTACAGCTAGTAGAGACCATCACTAATTATTTTTGAGAAAATCATGAAAATCAAGGGAAATTCAGAGAAAAGTCAAACAGGAGAAAAGCATTGGATCTGGGAGAAAATATAGCCCAGGCATTTCTTTTTTCCAGACAGAACCTAAGAAGTGTCTTCTATTGACACTGGACCAGTCAGGCTCCTTTCTTCCCATGCTCAGTTTCCAGAGGTGGCCCAGTCAAGCTTTTCTCTTGTGGGATGGGTAGTTTAGAGTGTTCTATAGCTTTTTTTAAAATTACATTTTAAATCAGCTTCACTTTCTTTTTCTGAGAAGCATGAGCTGCAACATTTCTCATCTTCTCAGTTCCCTGGCAAAGCCACACTGACTTGCGGAGGGATTGTCCTGGCTTACCGGCACTTTCCACTAGAGGGCCCTGCTTCTCAGATTTCAACTGAAGCATATTTCCACAAAACTGACACATCTTTGGTCTTTATAGACCTGTTGGTCACAGTCTGGTTTGTCTGGAAAGCTGTGAAGAGGAAAATAAGATCACACTCATTTTACAGGAAAAGAATCTGAGAACTGAGCCTTGGGAAATGGGGTGAGTAGTTCACTTCTTTATAAATCAGAAGATTCATAGGAAAGAAAGAGTAAGAGGCAAGAACACAGTGATCCTGAGTTCCAAAGACCTCTTTAAGAATTCCTGTGCACTGGTTCCTTCCTAGGTTTGTTCTCCTGGAAGACCTAAGAAACTTTTGCCTCTGATTCTTTTTTTTCTACCACACCCACCCATCCACTTTTCACTGGGGCATTAGGACACTAGGAATTTGACTGCGTGAGCACACCAGGGAGAGACAGGGGCAGTTTAGAGAATGAGGATGTTCAAGAAGGATCCCTCAACTCACATAAAGTTGAGGAGTGCTTTTTAGGAGAAACTCAGCTTGTTCACTTTGGAATTTCTCCATCCTTTATCATCAAGTCTCTTTATTTCTTCCTTCACTTCTCTCCCAAGGGTAGCTACCTTTCACCTCCTCACATCTGGTTCATTGCTTTAGTTGACCTCTTATTGGTCTAATTATGAAAGTCTTCTCCCTCCAAAATGCCCTTACACTGGGAATAGCTCGTGTTGTCTGCATCCTGATATTTAAAGTTTGCCATAATTTTATTCCACTGTGCTCTTCAGCTTTTATCTATTGATACTTCTAGTATGTTCTTTCTATTTGAGTTGGGTGGTCACTTTCAATTCTCTTTGATAGCATTTATTGCTCACAAGAAGGGTAGAAGGCACTGTGTTGGCTGATGGAGGAGGCAGAGGGGAATAAATCTATCACCTCTTCATGATCATGAAGTCGCAGATCTTGCCCTGTAGTAATGTACAACGTAAAGGGAAACAAATAATTGTCTATACTATACCATAAGGCAGAGTGAAATGAGTTAAGTGATTGGAGGACCAAAAGGGGAGAAAAGGATTGCAAAAAGAGCCATAATTAATTTGATTAGTGACACCAGGAAAAGCTTCATAGAGGAGGTAACATTTGAGCTGGGCATTAAAGGTTGTGTAAATGGATAGGGAACAGGGACACACATTCTACCTGAGGCACTATGCCTCATATAGGCAAGGGACTGTGAACATGCATGGTGTATCTGGGGAGGTGCCCCAAATGCACCACACAGATCCAAGCCTCTGTTTTTTGTTGTTGTTCATGCTTTCCTTATGTTGATGCTCCCTGTCTTCATTCTTTGCCAAATCCCACGCATCATCCTTCAAGGCCCAGCTTTAGCCTCGCCTCCCCCATAAGATCTTTTCTGACTGTGCTAGCTCGTGCCACTCCTGGCAGTATGTGGCTAAGGATTTAACTGTAGTGTCTGTGCTGGAATTGGTTCCTCAGTTATCCCATGGCAGACATTATGTTTATCTCATGCTTTGGGAGTCTTGCAGAGCCAACACACTGTTAATGGTAGTTGGGGCTAGATGATTCTATGGACTCAGTCACTGGAAGTAACACCCTCATTCTGCCTAAATACAGCTTATTTCTGCTGTCCAGTCTGAGATTGTTCAAGGGAATTTAGGATCTAGCTGGTTATGTCTGCTAACTCATAAGAGAAGCAATTCTTCAAAAACTCACTTGAAAGAAGCTAGTTCGAAAAAATATATGTACCCCTATGTTTATTGCAGCACTATTCACAATAGCCAAGACTTGGAAACAACCGAAATGCCCATCGGTAGATGACTGGATCAAGAAACTGTGGTATATTTATACAATGGAGTATTACTCCGCTATAAAGAAGAATGAAATCGTAACATTTGGGACGATATGGATGGACTTAGAGACTATTATGTTAAGTGAAATAAGTCA